CAAATGCTCATGGCATGTACTTCCCGTGATCTGAATGCTCATAGAATGCCCCTCCTGTGATCCAAATGCTCATGGCATGCCCTTTCCATGACCTGAATGCCCACGGCGTGCTCTTCCTGTGTTCTGAATGCTGATGGAGTGCCCTTCACATGATCTGAGTGCTCATGTGTGCCCTTTCTGTGATCCAAATACTCATGCTATGTCCTTCCCGTGACCCAAATGCTCGTGGCGTGTCCTTCTGATGATCTGAGTGCTCATCGCATGCACTTCCCCTGATATGAGTGGTCATGGTGTGCCCTTTCCATGATTTGAATGCTCACTCGGCTACACCTAAAGAAGTCACGCACAAGCATTTTCTTTTGAATGTTGTTAATAAAAACAGGACTCTGCTGAGTACACGTTCTGCATCTTGGGTTCTCAATCAATAGTGATGCATCCTGGAAATCCCCCCGATGGAGCTCCAAGCCCTCCCTGCTCACGGCTGGACTGTTCCATGCTCCAGGTCACAGCCATGGATGTGCCCTTCCGTGTTGCAGCCTCCGCCCCAGCGTGGATCACCAAAAGTGACACTGCCAGGTTGGAAGGCGGCTTTAGCACTGCTGTGCTGGTACTACTGTCTAAAAATTCCGTGCCCTCACAGCAACAACTGAGTGCACCCCTTACCCATATCCACCGTCCACACTAGTAACAGCCTTAATTGTTTTTTTCCTCATTTTTTTCTGCTTGTTTGGCAGCAAAAAAGAGATAGTTCGTTGTTACATTAGTTGCTTTCCCTGAATGTTAGTAAATTTTAAACTTGTCCTTTATTTTTTTTTTGGCAATTTGCATTTGTTCAATGAATGATCTATTCATAACCTTTGTCCATTTTTCTACTATTTGACTGTTAATTGATTTTAATTGCTCCTTTCCACTCTAGATGTTAACTCTCTCTCACTTTTCTTACAAATATTTTTCTCCAGCCCCATCAACCCAGAACTCTCAGCATGGAGCACTTTTATGTTTTATGAGGCCAGGTCTCCTTATGTGTTGATGGCTTCTAGGCTCAGTTGTGGTTCAGGAATCTCCTTTGCTCGAAGTCAGCAGTGACCTCCTGGGTGGGACTGCAGCACGGGTTTCCATGCATCTTGCACAGTGGACAGTCGGGTGCGTTTTATTCCCATCCAGATGGAAAACCAGCTGGTTCCACCCTCCTTCTCCCCATAGGCCTAGATAACGCTTTGTCACAGGAGAACTGGTGTCTGGTTCTGGGCTCTCTGTCTTCCTTTATTAACAGATGCATCTATTCTTGTTGACAATACTGTGTGGACTTGATCATAGCAGCCTTGTAGTGTATCCTATTGTCTGTCAAGACAATACTGCATCACTGTTCTTTTCCCTAGTTGATTAAGGAATACATAATGGAATTGGTGTCTTCATATAAACTTTAAAATTAATTTATCCTTTCAAAATGAAAACATACTATCATTATTCTAAATGAAATTGCGTTTAATGTATACACTCATTTAGAGAGAAATGATCTTTTCTCAGATTTTCATATATTTAATGATGTTTTATGATTTTCTTTTTGTATGTCATGTGATTATTTTGTTAAATTTACACACCTGATTTTGATCAACTTTTTTGTCATTATGAAAGGGATATTTTTTTCTCCATTACCATTCGTGGTACTTTGCTAAAGAACAAAACAAAAAGAAAAAAAGGAAAAGAACAATTTTATACTTTTCCACAGATTGAAGACACTTTTTTAAATTTTGATCAAATTTTTAGAATTTTTAGATGTTGTGGACATCTAACATAGCATTAAGAAAAAAGATAATTGTATTATGGTTTAAATCTTATTTTCTCTTATAGTAGTTTTACCAGCTCTTGTTTAATTTCTAGACTTTGGTCTAACAGAGATAGTACTAAGTACCAACAATGATAGTGGGTGTTTCTGCTAGTCCTTAATTTTAAATTAAATTGTTCCATTGTTTAACTGCTCAAGATAATATTTGTTATTGCTTCTACATTATATTTTAGCAATTCCAATCTACTCTATTCCATTTCTATTTAACCAGGAATGGTAAGTAATAGTACCTTGTATTATTGCATTTTAAGTACCTGTGATATTAATTTTTCTTCTTTAATTTGTCGACACCCTGGATAATATAACCCTATCCAACACGGAACCATTCTGTGAATAGATTCTATTTGACTCGGTAATTGCCTTTTGATTGGCTGCCCTATCTTTTATTATTTTATTTAGAAGGGGATACTGACCTGTATGCCCCGTCCTTGTCCTGTTTTCATCAGAGGCCAACACAAAAGTTTCGCTGACTCTGCAGAACGCACTGGGGGCCTTTCCATCTTTTCTGTGGCTGAAATAGTTTAAGCAACCTTGGAGTTACCTATCCTTTCGAGATTTGATGGAAGTCCACCGTCAATGCCATCTGATCCCTGGATTTCTGATCACCTTGTCTGTCTCTTCCATCCTCATTGTCCTTTGGAGTTCTACATTTCTTCTTGGAAAAATTGTGGTTATTTCCATTTTGTTAGGGAGTCATCCATCGGCTCTTCATTTTCCAGTGTGTTGCCATGAAACTGCATAGACAGTCGCTCCTGATTCTTCTCGTCTCTCCTGCGCACCTGAGCCCTGCTCCTTTCTCATTCCAAATCCTGCCTCACTCTGTGCCCTTTCTTTGTTTTCCACACTGGGTTGTGAAGCAGAGCTTTATGTTTTCTTCCCACCAGTTCTTTTATTCATACTTAATTAATTTTAACTTCTGCGTGTATTAATTTAACTTTCTCATTTACTTTTGCTTTAGCTCTCTGTTCCTTAACTAAATTCTTAAAATAGCTACTTAATTTCTTTGTTTTTGTTGTTTTGATGAAAGCAATTTAAAGACTATAAATTTTCTTCTGAGGGAGGCTTTGCTGGTGTTCTTGAATTTTCTTAACAAGCGAGTTAACCTTTCATCAATTTCTAGAGAGACTTTCAGTTCTTCTTAAGAGTCTCTTTGAATCAGTTATTAGGAGAATTTGCAGCTCCTTGTTATTTATTTGTAATTTTATTATTATTTGTGCTCCTCAATTTAATTCCTCTATTTCCTCTTATTCTTGGGGCCGCTGGGCCTGTATAATACGAAGGGCGTGCACTGAAGTTCCCGCTATCGTGATTTTCTTGGCTTTCTTACTCTCTTGCTGAATTTCAGCTCCTGCCTGGGTTCCCTGCTGGCCCTAAGTTCTCACATCCTCTGCTCTGAGCCTTGCAGGCCTCCCTGAGGGCTCTCAGTGAAAGAGCTTTTTTTTCTTTTCTTTTCTTTTCTCTTTTGAGACAGAGTCTTGCACTGTCACCCAGGCTGGAGTGCCGTGGTGTGATCTCAGCTCACTGCAAGCTCCACATCCTGGGTTCACACCATTCTCCTGCCTCAGCCTCCCGAGTAGCTGGGACTACAAGTGCCCACCACCATGCCCGGCTAATTTTTTGTTAGTAGAGATGGGGTTTCACCGTGTTAGCTAGAATGGTCTCGATCTCATGACCTCGTGATCTGCTCACCTTGGCCTCCCAAAGTGCTGGGGTTACAGGCGTAAGCCACCTTGCCCAGCTGGAAGTGCATTTTTTAATGCACGACCTGTGGATCCTGTGCTGTCTCTGAACCAGGGCTGGGGCGTCCTTGCTGCCCCCACCCCCACCTGGCCTTGGGCTGCACAGCTGCCAGGCCAGGGTGCTGCCCAGAGGGGTTCTCACAGCATCTGCTTTGCTGCTTCACCACAAGGCTGACTCCCTGTCACCTGCATTCTTTTCACTGCACCTCCTGTGCCTGAGTCCATCAGGGGCTGGGCCTGTCTCCCTGCACAGCACTGCATGCCAGGGCTAACTCCCGAGTGGCTGCTGTCTCGCTGGGTGCATTTCCCCACGTGACCCCAGGTCCTCTGCTCCTTCCTACTCCTCAGTGCCTGGGCTGCGCTTTGCCCTGAGAGGAACTTTTCCGTTGTTTTCACTGGTAAAAATAATGTCCTATTACAAGAAGACCATGATCTTCAGGAAGAGTCTCTTTCGGGGTCTGTCCAACCCGGTCGATCTTGTGATTCTGGATGAGCGATTTAACCTCCTAAATCTAATAACACCCAGAGTAGGCCCTGACCCTGTGACACCTCCCCAGGGAGGAAGAGTTGCCAGGGAAAGGGTACCTGCTCTCTGCAACCCGCAGAGCTTGCCCGACATCCAGCACAGGCGACTCTTCCCAAGAAACCTGTAAATCTGGAAAAATGTTTTGGATCTCCATGTTACAGAAGAGAAGATGGAAGCTGGCCACAGCCAGAGTTGGAAGCCCACCCAAGGTCTCCTTACTCCCCTCTAGCTGCCTTTACACTGAACAGTGATGCCCACAAAACTCTGAGACTGTTTGCTCATGGGGCTCCTAAACCAAGTCCATGGCACTGGAAAGAAAGAGGTCAGCCCTTAATTAGCCGGGCGAGGTGGCGGGCGCCTGTAGTCCCAGCTACTCGGGAGGCTGAGGCAGGAGAATGGCGTGAACCCGGGAGGGGAGCTGCAGTGAGCCGAGATCGTGCCACTGCACTCCAGCCTGGGCGACAGAGCGAGACTCCGTCTCAGGAAAAAAGAAAAAAGAAGAAAGAAAAAAAAGAAAAGAGAAAAGAAGAAAGAGATCAGCTCTTCCCAAAGTCAGAAGGTAAATCCAGACCGGGGCGTTCATGAGCAGCTAGAGCAGTGTCTGAGCAGGAACGAGACTGGCTCAGGCCAAGAGCATCTGAGCTTTAGGGAGATGTGGACTCCTAGGATGTGGGGTGCATCCTCTGGGTTCAGCCTCTTCCCCAGGCAAGAGACCACCGGTGAGCAGGCAGGGGGGAGGTCGGGGACTGGCTGGACCGACCCCTGCAGAGAGGAACTAGAGGGGCAGAGAAACATGCGGCGCTGCAGGGTCGTCGGCTGGCCTCGAGCTTCTAGAGTTCTTAAAAAGGGTGAGCGGGCCTGGTGACCTTGAACGCCCCTTCGCCCGCAGCTCCCGGAGGAGGCCGGCCGGCCGCGGGCACCGCCTGTCTGCCCTTCTTACCGCTTCTTCGGCGCCTGTTGGCACCGGAGCCAAGGCGCGCTCTTCGGGAACCGTCCACCGCCAACCGCGCGGCAGCAGATGAACGGGCTGACCTCGTCCTGGACGCGTCACCGTGTACGGCAGCTCCGCGCGGCCTGAGAGGCAGGCTGCGGAACTGGACCCAGCGCCGAGGGGCCTCTCCGCGCCACGCGCGCCTCTGGGACTCCCGGCCGCGCCTACCTCCCTTCGCGCCGCTCGCGCGCCCGCGGCCCTGTGCGCCTGAGCCCGCATCCCGGAGAGACCCGCGGGCCCTGCTTCCTGGCCGGGGACGCCGCGCCAGCGAGGTCCCCTCCCTGACGCGCGCTGCACAGCTGTGTGGCTGCGCGAGCACAAACCGCCTGGCCGCGGCGCGTCAAGGCCCTCAACCGGCGCACTGAGCGCGGACGCCGTGTACCAGGAGGCGCGCAAGGTCGTGGGCGCCCTGCACAGGTGCGCGGGGGCTCCTGGCGCCCTGGGTGCGCAGCATGCAAAGCGGGGGGAGGCCTCCATGTGGGGTGGCGCAGAATCGTGGGTTCTCTGTACTTGCAGCAGCCATCAGGGGCGCCCACATGGGTGAGCCTGAGGTCGTGGGTGCGCAATCATGGTGGGCGGGCGGCCCTTCATGGGTGTGTGGAGGGTCATCGTGAGCTCCTGTGCAGGGACCGAAGGGTAAGACTCCAGGCGCTCGGCGGCGCCTTCCGGGGCGCCCTCTGTCCCACCTGCTTACCCTCCAGCTGGCTGGTGATTATCCCACCAAGACACCAATAACCACAGCCCCCCAACAACGGCAGCCAGGTCACCCAGGTTTCCCTGTGCCCGCAGCCAGGCAAGGTGCTTTGCAGATTTCAACTCATTTAATAATTCCCAGAACAACCCTTGGAGGTGAGTGGACCAGGGCTGCTGGTGTTTTTGTATTTCGGAGACAATGCAGAGAATGAAGAACTGACTCTGTGTGAGGTTTCTGAACTAGCAAGTTAGAGTCTATTTGAAACCTTTCTTCATTTTATGACTCTCTTAAGTATTGCATGAGAGGGTCTTGAGACTCAAGTTGACCTTTTATTAATTGTGTGATGGAGAAAAGCACTTACACACCTAGAAGTGCAGTCCCTGACTCTGGGGGTCTCACAGGATTGTTATGAAGAAGGATGGGCTGTTTTATATTGAGAGTTACCATGTGCGCGTCTGTTGCACCGGGCCCTGTAGCGGCCTGGGCATCCTCTCTGCAGTTCTTGCCCTGAGCCTGCGGGGAAGGGCGCGTCAATCCTGTTCTAAAGGACGCACTGGAGCTTTGTCCAAGGAGGCACAGGGGCTGTGCGTGGCACCGACCGCCCCCAGGCAGCACACACCCCTGCCACTTTCTGGCCTTTGCTGCACTGGGGTCCAGGCCCCAAAGGTCAGAGCAGAGGGCCTGGGAAGCCCCCATGCGCTGGGTGTTAATCCTTAGTTCCTGGGTGATGACGGGACCTGGAGCTTCCTGGAACAGGGGCTGGCAGCAGCAGGCCCGCAGGCTTCTCCAGCAAACACGGCAGACGAGCTCACTGTCCTAATGCGCGCATCCACACAGCAGTGCTCGGCTGGGAGCATCCGCTGGACGGAGGAGGCTTGTGTGAGTGAGAGGAGCGCAGTTAGAAATGAAAGCAGGAACCTTGTCACCATGTGAAGTAAAAATCATCAGGCACCCACGTCGCTTTCAAGCAGCGACTCAGACACTTTCCTGCTTCCCTGTGCAAAGGGGAATGTAAACCCAGGAGCTGCTGAGCGGTGGAATCCAGGTCCTCGTCTCCGTGAGCCTGGGCTTCCCACCACACACCTGGGGAAGCAGGTCCCAGATGGCCGCCCTCTCCCCTCTGCTCATCCCCTGAGGCCTTCGGGGCTCCTGTTTGCTTCCTTGCTGCTTCCGTGCCGCTTCCCTGACTGCGAGCTCCACAGAGAGATGTTCATCTGTTTAATTCTTTTTTTCTCAGGACCCACAATTTGCCAGGTTGCTTCATAAATATATATATTGAATTTGTGAATGAAGTAGAAATTTCAAAAATAATTCTGGAAGTCCTGGCCCTGCTGTAGCCTCGGGAGCAGGATTTGGTTTGAACCTTCTTTGAGTGAGAACCTCACCAGCCCAGGGAGCTGTGAGAAGAGAGGCTGCCTCGGACCCCTGGAGCCCGTTCACAGGGCCAGAGACGCCCAATTGTCACGCATCCTGCTGTCTTTCTTCTCCATGGAGTTCTGGAATTATTTAGAGGTGTGAATTGTTACCAGGCCCTGTCATTATAGATTAGAGATAGTTTAATTCCAAATTTCTGAGAATCCCACTGATCTGGAATTAATGACATTTGGTTGCCTGCTGCTGCTCCTCCTTCTCCTCCTCTTCTCCTTCTTCTCCTTCTTCTTCCTTTTGTGTGTGTTTTTTGTTTGTTTGTTTGTTTTTTGTTTTTTTGAGACAGAGTCTCACTCTGTCACCCGGGCTGGAGTATAGTGGTGAGATCTCGGCTCACTGCAACCACCGCCTCCCAGGTTCAAGCGATTCTCCTGCCTCAGCCTCTCAAGTAGCTGAGACCACAGACACGTGCCACCACTCCCAGCTAATTTTTGTATTTTTAATAGACATGGGGTTTTGCCATGTTGGCCAGGATGGTCTTGAACTCCTTTCCTGAAGTGATCCGCCTGCCTCAGGCTCCCAAAGTGCTGGGATTACAGGCCTGAGCCACCGCGCCCAGCTGCCTATTCTTATTATTAATGAAATAATAACAACAGCAAACAATAGGAAAAATGTTCTTCTCTGTTTCATATTTACCTTCCTCAGTTCATTTTCTGTGTGTTCTGCTTTTTTAAAAAATGTGAACGTTCTTTTCTTCTTGGTTTTACATTTCACTTTTGAATTTCCTTTTGTGTTTTTTTCAGTTAATGGGTCCTCTTTGGTGCTTTTTGCAAAAACCTTTGATACATTAAAATAATAAGTTGTGTTAAACATGTCAATAGAGCCACTGCTGTAACTTCCAGCCATATCTGAAAGATCCGCAGTGGCCTGGATCTTTCAGGCTCATTTTTCTCTCCCTGGTTCTATCGACTCATAGTTCGGTAACTGTGTGATCTGAATCTCTCTTCTTCTGAAAAGCATTAGATAATGAAAAGAAATGCCAGGGCAACTTTATGAAAGAGAAACAGCATCCCCCTTCTATTATTCCCCCAAACCCCCTACACACACACACACACACACACACACACACACACACACACACGAGCCAGCCGGGGCCAGGATAATGACACATCAGCAAGAGGCAGGAAGGCTCAACTCAGAGCTGGGAGTCACAGCTTTCTCCTCCATCTGTCCACACCACCTCCCGCCTCCTGCATCCGTCCACACCACGTCCCTGCTGCTGTCTGTCCTCACCACACCCACTCTAAGCTGTCAGGGCCCAACCCCAGCCACCCCCTGTCTGAGGATCTCGGCTCCTCTGATTTCTTTTGTAGACAGCTGAGAGCGATCCCCTCCCTCAGCCCTGGGGCACAGGACTTCTGCCGTGCGCATCTGCGGGCTGCCCTCTGTGCTGGTTCCTGGGAGCCGGCATCTCTCGGGGGACTCGCACATAGGAAGGGCTGATGAAGTTGCTCTTGCTGGCTTGAGATCCCACAGGACCCCAGTTCCATAAGCCGTGCTTCCCGCCAGGAGGAACCGAAGCTCTTGCTCTTCCATCCCAGCAGTCCTCAGCTTCTCTATGGTGTGTCATAAAACAAGAACTGACAATCAGATGCTCACTTTGGCGATAACTTTTGTGTTCTACAGACAAGAAAAGAATGAGAAAGGAAACCCTTCCCAGCAGAGGTTGAGGGAGGCAGAGAGGAGGTAGCCATCCTTGGTGAGTCTGGGTGTGCCGTCCAGGCTGCGTGGAGTTTGAGATAAAGACCCAAACATCTGGCGTGGGTGTTTTCTATGCCCCGGCCATCAGATAGCAGACCTAGTTCTGGAGCACAGCCTTGATTTCCCCAGATATCCAGGGACCCACAGAAGCTTTGCTTTGGATGTGTGTGGAGGTACGACCAGACCCCGGAGGGACCGCAGATCTCCCCGGACATCCCCATCCTAGGCAGGCGGATCCACGTCTCAGGGCAGGGGCTGCATCCCCGGACCACTCAGCTGCTGACCTTTGCCGTGGCTGAGTACTTTTTCAGATTGGCTGCTCTTCCAGGCAAAGGAGCAGATGGATAAAGCCATGCTTCCAAGGCTGGAAAGAAAGAGAAAGGCCGCTTCCCTTACCTGATTGCCCTGGCCGGAACTTCCAACAGTATGTTAAATAGGAGTGGTCAGAGAGGGCATCCCTGTCTTGTTCCAGTTTTCAAAGGGAATACTTCCAGTTTTTGTCCATTCAGAATACCTAGGTGCTGGTGCTGCCCCACCCAGACCCCTTTACCGGCAGGGCCCCGTTCCCCAGCAGCCTCCAATGTTGGCTGACAAAATCTCCCAGCCGTTCCTCTCCAGGGGTTCTTCTGCAGGGACAACCAGGCCCCTGCCTCAAGGCTGGACCAAGCCCAGGTGTGCCATGCTGCAGGGCTGCCTGCGGAGAAGCACAAGCCCAGGTGTACCATGCTGCAGGGCTGCCTGTGGAGGAACACAAGCCCAGGTGTGCCATGCTGCAGGGCTGCCTGCCGAGGAGCACAAGCCCAGGTGTGCCATGCTGGAGGAACACAAGCCCAGGTGTGCCATGCTGCAGGGCTGCCTGCCGAGGAGCACAAGCCCAGGTGTGCCATGCTGCAGGGCTGCCTGTGGAGGAACACAAGCCCAGGTGTGCCATGCTGCAGGGCTGCCTGCCGAGGAGCACAAGCCAGGCCTGGCTGTATTGCATCCTTGGGGAGCTGGGTGCTGGCTGGGTGCCTGCTCAGCCTCCTCCCCGGAGCACCCTCAGCAAACACATGGGAGCCTCTTGTTGGACTAATAGGGCATGTTTGAGAAAATACTGAGTGACGTTGTTCTGCGGAGAGCAGGGTGGGTGACGTTGAAAGCAGTCAGGAGGTTCAGAGGAGCCTGTGCCAGGGGCTGTGTGGCTGTTTCCCACCGTTGGTGACAAGCATCGCATCTCCAGGTCTCTTAGTCCTGGTCTCCCCCTATGCTGGGGTCCTGGCTTCCTGTCACCTTCACGCCCACCATTTTCCCAAGTGTGGACCTTTCGATCGTTCCCACTGGTGAGTTGTGAAGGCCAAGAAATGGAGAGTGGCCACAAGTCAGCGCCAGCAGCTTTGGCAGAGGCTGTGGGGAACCAGGAGGCTGGGGTGAGAGCAGACATGGAGGAGCAGCTTGAAGCAGCTTGGGAAGACAAGGACTCTACACGGCACTGCCAGCAGCGAAAGAAGACGGGGCCTACCTGGGAGATGGGCAGGAGGGGCACCCAACAGCAACAATGCCCAGGTCTGACAGTATGGCATCTGCCCAGGTCCAATAATTCAGAGTAACCATTTTCCTCATGTGACCGGGTAAACAAATACCAGAAGCATTTTCACAAGAATTGCCATGAAAATTCCAGAGAGCTGTTTACAAGATTCAAGGTTTTCTTTTTCTCTTTTTGAGAAGGCACCTCCTCTCTCACCCAGGCGGAAGTGCGGTGGCACAGTCATAGCTCACTGCAGCCTCAACCTCCTGGGCTCAAGCAATCCTTCCACCTCAGCTGCCCGCATCCCTGGGACAACAGGAGTGCACCACCCCGCCTGGCTAATTTTTAATTTTTTAAAATATTTGTAGAAATAGAGTCTGACTGTGTTGCCCAGGCTGGTCTCGCTCTCGGGCTCAACCAGTCCTCCCACCTTGGCCTCCCAAAATGCTGGGATTACAGGCGTGAGCTACCACGCTCGACTCAAGATTCAAGTTTTAAGGCCCTATTGGTCAGAACAAAGGGTGCTTCTGCCCAATCTCGACAGCTCCCAGGGGAGGCTGCACTATCTGAGCCCAATCACTTACCGGGGACATCTCAGATCAGATGAGGAGCCAGTGGGGAAGAGGAGAGACACACTGTTCAGAGCTCTGGCAAGATCAGACACCGAGGAGGCGCAGTGTCTGCGAGGCTCGGATGAAGGGCACAGGTTTGCTCTCTATTCGTAGCTGGTTAGGCACGGGTGGAGCTGGGAACCTCAGACTTAGGCCTCAGGAGTGCTGTGTCTGTACTTGCTGCATCCCCTGGCTCACAAGTCAAACTTCAGGTAGGCAAGAAGGGAAAGAGGTGTCTTCCTTAAAATAGCTTGCACTTGAATTTGAAATTGTCTCGGCCGGGCGCAGTGTCTCATGCCTGTAATCCCAGCACTTTGGGAGGCCAAGGTGGGTGGATCACGAGGCCAGCAGATTGAGACCATCCTGGCTAACACGGTGAAAACCCATCTCTACTAAAAATACAAAAAATTAGCTGGGCGTGGTGGTGGGTGCCTGTAGTCCCAGCTACTCGGGAGGCTGAGGCGGGAGAATGGCGTGAACCCAGAAGACGGAGCTACTGTACTCCAGCCTGGGCGACAGAGCGAGACTCTGTCTCAAAAAAAAAAAAAAAAAAAAATAACCATATTGGTTTGCCTCGTATGGTTTTTGCTTTATGGAGTGATGCATTAGTATAGCCATCTCAAAAAAAAAAAAAAAAAAAGAGAAAGAATTGTCTGAGTCTCTGGGCTAAAGAGAGAGAGGCCTTTTCCTTTCTATTGTAGTGAGAAGAAACCAAAGAATGTTCCAGGGAGCAGAAGGTGCTGCCTGAGTTCTGGACGTGGGAAGAACACGGACCTTCTCATGCGGCTAGGAGGAGCCCCCAGGACACCTGTGTGGTTCAGAAACGCTGCCACATAAATTGCGCCTGAGGTGGAGAGGCTGTTTGCAGGATGAAGTCAGAACTACTCTCTGACCCATGGCACGATGCTTCTCACCAATGGATGAACTAGCTCAGGAACGGAAACCCCACTGGGGAACTTTTGGATGCCGCCTTTTCCTTCTTGTCTGTCCAGGTCTCCGAGGTGGAGCGGGACAGCGGGGAGCAGGTGCACCCTCAGTAAACGCCCAGGCCACACAAGACTCATAGCTCTCCCTGGTCTCCCTGAAGGGCCAAATTACGTGCTTAGGAAATGCATTCTGGCGCCTGGAAGGAACATATTACAAGTGTATAAATAATATTGGTTATTTTTAAACAATCTGCTTGCTTTCCTAAACTGGTAAGCTAAAAGAGAAGATTCATATTCTAGAATTATGCCTATTATGCTTCATTTGGATGTAGTTTATTGACCAAAATATTCCCCTTAAATACCAAAACAATTTGAGACTGATTTTTCTGTCTGAAAGAAACACTGTTAAACCTGAAAGTAGAATCTTTGTACGTAATTCTCCTGGGGCCATGTGTCAAATCATAATTTCCAGGCCCTGCGATTGCACTGTAATTTTCCATTGACAGAGCTCTGTGCCAAACAACATGCTTTGATTTAATCCTCACAGAGGCTCTAGGAATTAGGTGTTGTTGCTTTGTAGAAAAAGGAACTGCTCCCCGCTGTCAGTCATCCAGCCAGGAGTCAAGCCGCCCAGCCTGGCCCGGTGGCCACCGTTGGCTCGACAGAGACGCTGTCTCTTGCCACTGCCAGCCCCATCACCATCCTGGGAAGGAGGCTCTCTAGTCAGCCCTATAAACGCACCTCCTGAATATTCATGAAAAAATCAACAAGAACGCCTTTCTGGGAAGTTCAGCTGAGGCCTTTATTGCAAGGCGAGAAGAGTGCAGCTCCCTGGGGATGTCAAGGAAGATGCCCTTCTCCACTGCCACTCGAGGCGACCCTCCTCTGGTATCCTGGGCCTCACTGAGACGCTTTTCCTTTCTGCACAGATCATCACCCTGAGGGATTACGTCCCCAGGATCCTGGGACCCGAGGCCTTCCAGCAGTACGTGGGCCCCTATGAAGGCTATGACTCCACCGCCAACCCCACTGTGTCCAACGTGTTCTCCACGGCCGCCTTCCGCTTCGGCCACGCCACGATCCACCCGCTGGTGAGGAGGCTGGACGCTGGCTTCCAGGAGCACCCTGACCTGCCCGGGCTGTGGCTGCACGAGGCCTTCTTCAGCCCATGGACGGTCCTCCACGGAGGTGAGTGAGTGCAGTCCCTGCAGCTGGTCCCTGTGAAGTCGCTTCTTTTTTTATATTTTTATTTTTTTATTATACTTTAAGTTCTAGGGTAAATGTGCACAACGTGCAGGTTTGCTACATAGGGTAGACATGTGCCCTGTTGTTTTACTGCACCCATTAACTCATAATTTACATTAGGCATTTCTCCTAATGCTATCCCTCCCCCTGCCCCCACCCCACGACAGATGGGGTGTGATGATCCCTGCCCTGTGTCCATGGGTTCTCATTGTTCAATTCCCACCTATGAGTGAGAACATGCGGTGTTTGGTTTTCTGTCCTTGCGATAGTTTGCTGAGAATGATGATTTCCAGCTGCATCCATGTCCCTGCAAAGGACATGAACTCATCCTTTTTTATGGCTGCATAGTATTCCATGGTGTATATGTGCCACATTTTCTTAATCCAGTCTATCACTGATGGACATTTGGGTTGGTTCCAAGTCTTTGCTATTTTAAATAGTGCCGCAATAAACATACATATGCATGTGTCTTTATAGTAGCATGATTTATAATCCTTTGGGTATATGCCCAGTAATTGGATTGCTGGGTCAAATGGTATTACTAGTTCTAGATCCTTGAGGAATCACCACACTGTCTTCCACAATGGTTGAACTAATTTGCACTCCCACCAACAGTGTAAAAGCATTCCTATTTCTCCACATCCTCTCCAGCATCTGTTGTTTCCTGACTTCTTAATGATCGCCATTCTATCTCATTTTGGTTTCAATTTGCATTTCTTTAATGACCCGTGACGATGAGCATTTTCTCATGTGTCTGTTGGCTGCATAAATGTCTTCTTTTAAGAAGTGTCTTTTCATATCCTTTGCCCACTTTTTGATGTGGTTGTTTGTTTTCTTCTTGTAAATTTGTTTAAGTTCTTTGTAGATTCTGGATATTAGCCCTTTGTCAGATGGGTAGATTGCAAAAAATTTTCTCCCATTCTGTAGGTTGTCTGTTCACTCTGATGGTAGTTTCTTTTGCTGTGCAGAAGCTCTTTAGTTTAATAAGATCCCATTTGTCAATTTTGGCTTTTGTTGCCATTGCTTTTAGTGTTTTAGTCATGAAGTCCTTGCCCATGCCTATGTCCTGAATGGTATTGCCTAGGTTTTCTTCTAGGGTTTTTATGGTTTTAGATCTAACATTTAAGTCTTTAATCCATCTTAAATTAATTTTTGCATAAGGTGTAAGGAAGGGATCCAGTTTCAGCTTTCTACATACGGCTAGCCAGTTTTCTCAGCACCATTTATTAAATAGGGAATCCTTTCCCCATTTCTTATTTTTGTCAGGTTTGTCAAAGATCAGATGGTTGTAGATGTGTGGTGTTATTTCTGATGCCTCTGTTCTGTTCCATTGGTCTATATCTCTGTTTTGGTACCAGTACCATGCTGTTTTGGTTACTGTAGCCTTGTGGTATAGTTTGAAGTCAGGTAGCATGATGCCTCCAGCTTTGCTCTTTTTGCTTAGGATTTTCTTGGCATTTTGGGCTCTTTTTTGATTCCATATGAACTTTAAAGTAGTTTTTTTCCAATTCTGTGAAGAAAGTAATTGGTAGCTCGATGGGGATGGCATTGAATCTATAAATTACCTTGGGCAGTATGGCCATTTTCACGATATTGATTATTCTTGTCCATGAGCATGGAATGTTCTTCCATTTGTTTGTGTCCTCTTTTATTTCACTGAGCAGTGGTTTGTAGTTCTCCTTGAAGAGGTCCTTCACATCCCTTGTAAGTTGGATTCCTAGGTATTTTATTCTCTTTGTAGCAATTGTGAATGGGAGTTCACTGATGATTTGGCTCTGTTTGTCTGTTATTGGTGTATAGGAATGCTTGTTATTTTTGCACATTGATTTTGTATCCTGAGACTTTGCAGAAGTTGCTTATTAACTTGAGATTTTGGCCTGAGGCGACGGGATTTTCTAAATATACAATCATGTCATCTGCAAACAGGGACAATTTGACTTCCCCTTTTCCTAATTGAATACTCTTTATTTCTTTCTCTTGCCTGATTTCCCTGGCCAGAACTTCCAACAATATGTTAAATAGGAGTGGTGAGAGAGGGCATCCCTGTGTTATGCCAGTTTTCAAAGGGAATGCTTCCAGTTTTTGCCCATTCAGTATGATATTGGCTGTGGGTTTGTCATAAATAGCTCTTATTATTTTGAGATACGTTCCAAGAATACCCAGTTTATTGAGAGTTTTTAGCATGAAGGGCGGTTGAATTTTGTCAAAGGCCTTTTCTGCATCTATTGGGATAATCATGTGGTTTTTGTTGTTGGTCCGTTTATGTGATGGATTATGTTTATTGACTTGCGTATGTTGAGCCAGCCTTGCATCTCAGGGATGAAGCCGACTTGATCGTGGTGGATAAGCTTCTTGATATGCTGCTGGATTCAGTTTGCTGGTATTTTATTTGGGATTTCTCATCGATGTTCATCAGTTCTCCCTTCTTTCTTATGACTCACCACAGCCATGCAGACCTTCCGTATGGGCACACTTGCTGATCCTACACAGGGTTTTTAATATCTGTGGGGAAAATAAATGTGTTTAAAGCATTTTAAAAGGCTAAACTGGGCCCAGACATGGTGGTTCACACCTGTAATCCCAGCACTTTGGGAGGCCGAGGCAGGTGGATCACTTGAGGTCGGGAGTTTGAGACCAGCCTGGCCAACATGGTGAAACCCTGTCTCTACTAAAAATACAAAAAAAAAAAAATTAGCCAGGCGTGGTGGCGGGCGCCTGTAGTCTCAGCTACTCGAGAGGCTGTGGCAGGAGACTCGCTTGAACCCGGGAGGCAGAGGTTGCAGGTGAGCCGAGATCTTGCCATCGCATTCCAGACTGGGCAACAGAGTGAAAATCCGTTTCAAAATAAAATAAAAATAAAAGGCTAAACTGTTCTATAGTTATGATCAGCACCCTCATCTTTAGAATGTTAATGATGGGTTACCTTTGGAAGTTAATTATTTGGAAGAAAATGATCCTATTCCCCCAATTAGTTTTTTGGAAGGGTTATTTTTAAGCTTCCCCATTTTTTCTTTACGTTCCTTTCCCAGTACTCTGTGTGTCTTTCTGGGAGCTCCTAACCTGACTCAAAAGTTGACTGGCTCCAGGTGTAGTGGGGAGTGGGGAGGGCAGGGGTGTGGCAGTGTGTCTGGCGATACCTGCTTAGATGAGAGCTGAGTCATGCACAGTGCACCAGAGAGGCAGGGGCTGGCCCGGCCCTCAGCAGGTGCCTGGCATTTGAAGACACCCAGGTCATCCCACACAGGACGATGCACGTCGTGATTCCTAAGTCTTCCTTTTGGGCATCCTAAGGCCAAACTTTAAAGACTGGTGGCATGCAGTGGTGGGTTCACACGCCACTGAGATAGAGGGACCCTGACAGGCGGTGGGGCCTGCTTTCCACACGGGGCCTTTGGAAATGACAGGAACAGTGGTCCCAGGCACTCTGGCCACTCCCTCAGCTAAGCTGAGTCTTCCTTTCACTGTTCTGGATATTAGAATTCAGCAAATGCTTCTTTGTTTTGTAATCTTTCTGTTGATAAGAAATAAAAAGCTTTAAAAACTGGTGGACTCCTTCTCCAGGCCCCTTTCTTTCTGAGGGTCCATCCCCCATGAGCCACATCGTCAGTGCCAGCCCAGTGGTTCACCCGCCGGCAAGGGCAGTGTCCTGAGGACATTCAGGAAACTCTGGAATCACACAAGCGGAATTCATGAACTTACACACAGATTTGCTAAGGACAAGATTGAGATATTGTTGTTTCTCTAGAACTGAGCCAAGAACTGTCCTTGCCTTGCACGTGGTATTTTCCAGGTGGTTTGGACCCACTAATACGAGGCCTTCTTGCAAGACCAGCCAAACTGCAGGTGCAGGATCAGCTGATGAACGAGGAACTGACAGAAAGGCTCTTTGTGCTGTCCAATTCCAGCACCTTGGATCTGGCGTCCATCAACCTGCAGAGGGGCCGGGACCATGGGCTGCCAGGTCTGCCAGTTCCTTCCCTTGCACACCTCACGCAGCTGCTGCAGGATTTGCCGAGTTAGCAACCTGCTGCTAGAGAGACTGATTTAAAGTAAAACAATCACAAATCTAATGCCTTCTAAGCAATGGCTCTTAAAGGACCCCAGTTCATTCAGCTATAGAGGCCACTTCGAGCTTTTCTTAGAGAGAGAAATGGCACAAAGAGGGTGATTCTGAACCTCCCAGGGACGTATGAGCTAGGACCTTGAGAAACACCTGCTTCTAGTAGAGGGAGGAGGCACTGCACGGGCAGACAATGGCAGATCTGCATCTGGCGTCCTGGGAAGCTCCTGGGATGGCTAGAGTGCCCCCGTCCCCTTCTCCACCCCCCAGCGAGATCCTAGGGCCTGCAGAGATCATTCCACCACATCAGGACTGCTGTTAGCTAACTGGTCCAAGCTGGCCCCTGGTGGGAGTGGCTGCTCCTCTCAGGCCAGCAGCCCCCTGTGCTCCCTACACCCGACCTGGCTCTGGCCTTTCCCAGGCCCCACCGCACAGCCTCCTCCCTAACCTGCCCGGTTCCCAACTCCCTGACCTCAGGCCCACCTCAGCCTTCCCTCCTCTGGGCTCCTAGGTGGTTCGGTTGTCTGGTCAACCTGCAGCACCTGTCCAGGCCCGATCCCCTGAGACCTCGTATTCTGTGTGCGGCTCTGTTCTCTCCATGCACCCTGGGAGCTTGGGAGGTGCCCTCCTATTGTGCGTGGGTAACATGTGACACGGACAGTGCTGGCAAGTCTTGTTCTGCCACATCCTGGGCCTTCCTCTGTCCCCTGGCCCTTCCCCCATTCCTGCCTTCCTTACCAGTGGCACCTGGAAGGGCTGGGATCAGCAACCACACAGGCTGTGAATATCTGGGGACTAAACGTGAGTTGGGAGGATGCAGAAGGGGCCCCGTGTGTGTCAGGATAATGCACACTGTCCCCCTCACTCCCTGCACCCAAACACAGCTGCTTCCTTGTTGCCAGAGCTCAGGGAGCACAGCCCACACATGCCCAGCACACACCCGGCACATACCCAACACATGCCCAGCACACACCCGGCACATACCCAGCACACATCTGCCTACACATGCCCAGCACACACCCGGCACATACCCAGCACACATCTGCCTACACATGCCCAGCACACACCCGGCACATACCTAGCACACACCTGGCACATACCCAACACACACCTGTCTACACATGCCCAGCACATAGCCAGCACATGCCCAGCACACACCCGGCACATACTCAGTACACACCTGTCTACACATGCCCAGCACACACCCGCACATGCCTGCACATGCCCAGCACACACCCGCACATGCCCGCACATGCCCAGCACACACCCACACATGCCCAGCACATACCCAGCACATGCCCACACACACCTTGCCTCTGGCTGGGACCCCCTTTGCTGCTGGCCCTGCTCAGGCCCCACAGCTTGACCTCCTCATGTTGCCACTGCTGACTTCCCTGAGCTAACTGCGCCAGAGAGCGGGCGACCCCATCCCGGCCCTCACAACCCTCACCTTTGTCTGCTCTACTTTTCACCAACTGAAATGTGGCCAAAGGTGAAAATCCACGTTCCCACTGGCCTGTGGGTCCCCCAAAGATCATAAGCCCAGGAGGAAGAGCTGTGTTTCAGGGCTGTGGTCACTAGCACCCAGAACTGTTGACTGGCACAGAACAGGCGCTTAGGGAACCCTCACTGAATTGATGGATGGATGGATGGATGGATGGATGGATGGATGGATGGATGAATGAATGAATGAATGAATGAATGAATGAATGTTTGGGCAAATAAACACTGACAAGGACAGAAGGGCCTGGTGGGAAGGGAACAGGAGTAAGACCAGCACACAGCCCGACTTGTGTTCCAAAGACTTGGGTTTGGACCTGAGGAGTTCAATTTTGGATGAATTTCTTAATTAACCTGTGTGGTTCCCAGTTCCTTCCCTGAGTGCCCAGGACAGTAGAGTCAGCCTCACGTTTGAGTGTTGGGGACGCACACACGAGAGTGCTTGGTGTGAGCACACAGGAGGAGTCATGACACAGCAGTGTAAGAGCTGCCACGCGGGTCCCTGCGGCCTGCAGTGTGAAGCCCACTGCGTGTATTAGCACTCTATACCCCAGCCAGTGCAGAAGGCCAGACTGCGATCCCGTTCTAAAAGATGGATTGAGAGGCTGACACACAGACAGTTTAGGCAACGTCCCCAGGTCTGAATTCCAGCAACTGGAGGCATCGATGCACCAGAAAGGCCACAAACCCAGCAGAAGCTTCGTTAGATCTGATTAGTTAGATCTCAGGCTGAATTAGATAAAAGAGAAACGCTCGTGTCTCAGCACGCTGAGCTGGGATGATGATTTCCGCCACGCCCTGAAATCGTTTGTTGTACTTTACAGTGAATATAAAATGTACAACCTTCCCCAAAACACTTTTTTGCAGCCACAAGTTCAGGAGTTCAAGACCAGCCTGGCCAGATGGTGAAACCCTGTCTCTACTAAAGATACAAAAAATTAGCCGAGTGTCATGGCAGACACCTGTAATCCCAGCTTCTTGAGAGGCTGAGGCAGGAGAATTGCCTGAAACCCAGGAGGCGGAGGTTGCAGTGAGCCGAGATCATGCCTCTGCACTCCAGCCTGGCAGACAGAGCGAGACTCCATCTCAGAAAAACAAAACAAAACAGAAACACCTTTTTTGCATTCCCGTTTCTGCGGTGTCTCCCACAGGCAGGGACATCCGAAGTGATGTTCCTTCTGGGCTCTGTGGCCTCCGGAGCTGGGAAGAGCTTCAGCCTCCATGTCTTTACCTCCTTCCCAGATCTTGCACATTTTCCCTCTAGAGTTGGAAAAAGATACAAATATGTTTCCTCTCAGAGCAATAGGAAAGGAAAATGCCCTCCTAACTTCGTTGTTTTTTCTTTTTAAAATTAAGATGTCAATCTCCCACAGGTGTGGAAATGCTTTTCTTGTACTAATTAAAACAGTTTGACGATGGTCTAAATTGTCGGTATAGAAACCTTCTCTCCTCGTTTTAGAACTTTAATTTGCTCATTATTTTTGTTTTTGACTAGTCTGAAAATAAATGCATTCTTTTAGTAAATATTTAATGAAATAACGGCTGTGTGCCCCAAGCCCTGTGGCAAGCAATGGGCATCTGTGTTTTCTGTATAAACCGAGTGTCTACAGGTTGCCTGTTACTGGAGCTGAGAAATTCGTGGGGTATGTTTGGGATGGTCTAGGCTAAAGTAGATTGTGTGATAAAGATGAAATTTTGTTGGAGGTGCTGAGTTGGAGGGACACCGGTGCCTCTTGACAGGGCAAAGCACCTCCCGGTGGCTTTGATGAAAGGGCCAGGATGGCCCATCTGGAAACAGAAAATAAGAGTGGTTTCTGCAGATACAGGGCAGCAGAGCCACTGCGGACAGCAGGAGTCAGGCTGAGGCAGCACAGCTTCTCATGGGGGATCAGGGGATCCCCTGCCAGATGCAGCAGCACCAGGGCTGTGGGGCCAGCCAAGGGGGGTGACTCTAGGAGCACAAGAGTCAGACACACACGGCTCCTCCTGACGGTTAACCAGGGAAATGGTTCTCAGCCCTCTAACAAATGGACTCAATAGCACCTGACAGCAGTTTTCTAAAAGCTCAGGGTGTTTCCATTTTTGTTTTTGTTTGTTTGTTTGTTTTGAGACGAAGTCTCACTCTTGTTGCCCAGGCTGGAGAGCAATGGTGCGATCTCGGCTCACTGCAACCTCCGCCTCCCAGGTTCAAGCAATTCTCCTGCCTCAGCCTCCCGAGTAGCTGGGAGTACCGACGACGGCCGCCACACCTGACTAATTTTTGTATTTTCAGTACAGACAGGGGTTCACCATGTTGGCCAGGCTGGTCTCAAACTCCTGACCTCAGGCAGTCCACCCGCCTCGGCCTCCAAAAGTGGTGGGATTACAGGCCTGAGCCACCGCACCCGGCCTCTAAAAGCTCAGATTTTGAATGTCGCTCATGCCTTCCTTCTCCAGTTTGTCCGTTCCTCCGATCTGTCTTCCTCCAAGTTGTTCCCACCCCTTGGCTCCATGAGTCTCTTTGTCACGTGGGCATCCCCTTCCCAGACTAACGAGGATGCCTGGCTATTTCTCCCAGTTCTGTTTGGTCTAAACATGAGACACCACAGGCCCGGCCTTCTGTCCCGTGAAAGCCTCACTGCCCCTGGGGGAACCGGCCCAGTGCTCACGTGTTGCTGCGCGTGCACTTGTCCGGGACTTCTGCTGGGAGCCTGCGGTGGGCAGGGCGCTGACAATAGAACCAGACAGTCTTAGCTGAAGCACCACACAGGGCGGGTGGATGAGCAGAGACAGCAGCAGAGACCCTGGACTGCGCTCTGATCAGACCCCGCGGGAGTGAGGGTCGCCCAGCCTTGAGGAGGGAGTGCTTCTGGAGGAGGCGACGGTGGAACCAAGAGGAGTGAATGAGGGATGAAGGCGGATATAAGGAGCGGGGCACAGGGAGGGGTACCAGTGTCAGGCAAAGGTGCAGCCACAGAGTCAGACCATGGATGAGGGCCTGGGCAGCGAGCAGGAGGAGGAGTGAGAAGAGAGGCCAGGGATTCACCAGGGTTCCCAGCAAGAAGAGATCTCCAGTCTTCAATATGGAGATGACTGGCCAGACAGATAAAGATATTTGTGTGTGTCCCTTTGTGTGTGTGTGTGTGTGTGTGCGCGTGTGAGAGAGAGGGGGAAGAGAGAGAGCGAGAGAGAGTGCTGGCTTCTGTGTGTGCTCCTGATGTCATTGTGGGAGGTAAACTCTGAAGAGGATGCAGAGCTGTCTCGGTTGCTCTGGAGAGGTGAGAACTAAGTGCAGGCTGGGCGATAACAGGAATGCACTTAAATGTCGTGGACTCAGCATTCTTGCTGTCTCCAGCTCCTTTATGAACAAACCCTGCAGAAAGAGCTCTGGCTTCTGAGCTGGAATATCCTAGCCTGGCAAACAGCCGGGCAGTGTCACAGGGTGGGACGGGACTCTGCCCTGCTACGCTTCCCGTCTTGGGGACCACGGCATGAGCGAGATGGGCTCAACAAAGGTTCAGGTCTGTGAGAGAAACCGTGCAGCCTCTCCCCTGTGCAGGTTACAATGAGTGGAGGGAGTTCTGTGGCCTGCCTCGCCTGGAGACCCCCGCTGACCTGAGCACAGCCATCGCCAGCAGGAGCGTGGCCGACAAGATCCTGGACTTGTACAAGCATCCTGACAACATCGACGTCTGGCTGGGAGGCTTAGCTGAAAACTTCCTCCCCAGGGCTCGGACAGGCCCCCTGTTTGCCTGTCTCATTGGGAAGCAGATGAAGGCTCTGCGGGACGGAGACTGGTAGGTTCCTGTCCGGAATGTCTTCCTTCTTCTTCTGCACAGAGGCAGGTGGTCTGCATTGGTTCAGAAGCCAGCCAGACCTGCATCCAAATTCTGGCTCCACCGCTCGACTCTTACATAAGCTGATCAGATTGTTTCTCCCACCTATAGTTTCCTTAACCTAGAACTGTGTTTTTATAACAATGAAGCAACTACAAAGCACGTAGCATTTAGAATGGGAGCTAGCACTGATTTTTCCTAGATCCAACCACATGAGCAAACAGGCGCCTAACAAAAACAAATTGTGACACACTCATGACAGCCCTGAGACTGCATCCCATCCCCCACATCCCCGGACAATGCCCAGGAAAGCACAGAGGTGGACAGTGACTCGGGTGCAGACACAGGCTATGCCTGGTGCTCATGGATGCCTCTGGGCTGGACAGGCCTTCTCAGCCCCCCAGTCCCTGCCTGCACACAGAGGTGCTTGCAGGTAGCAGAAAGCTGAGGTCCCGCTTTGCCTGCCTCATACGTGTCTGCTCCCTCCTCAAGTTCAACCTGGAATGTGGAGGTTTGTACTGGAGGGAGTCAGAGCCAGATCCTGTTCCCGTCTGATTCTGAGTCCTTCCCCACTCCCGTAGAAGCAGGTGCACAGGATACCAGTGTTAAGATCCTGGAACAACACAGACAAAAACAATGGGAAAACGTTTTCTTTTGCTTTTAAAGACATCCCTACCTATCCAGTTCTCTATTTTTGGTAGTCACTGTGCCAAGGTCAGATTTTTGTTGTAAAGGATCTGTGCTCTTCCCAGAGAGTGCACCTGCCACATGCCGAGGCTCCTGTCCTTTCCCCAGTGTGACTTTTGTCTCTAATTTCTGAGATGCAGCATTTCAAAGAGCTACGAACATCTAGGGAGAAATCACTGGGAGATCTTGTCTCCCTCATAGCTGTGTCTTCAGTAAATGTGCGTTTGGAATTCTCTGGGACATGGGAAGCCACTCGCTCAGAAGGGGGAAGATTTCACCAACTTGCCCCATATGTGTGTCTCCCAAGCGTGTTTTATGCCACCCATGGCTGAAGCTCCATCTGAAATCAGAGGCAGCTGGCAGATTCCTGGGGTGGTGCCCGCAATTTCTCATTCTGCGTATTTATGACCAAATATCTCCCCAATGCAAAAATGGGGTCAATTAACTTCCATGTAGTGGGGCCTCTTTTTTATGTTCTAAGAGGAATTCATCCCCGTGATGGGAAGCAGAAGAGCTTTATGTGGCCGGGGAAATGCATGCTTTATGGCACTCAGGCCAGGAGCTGCTGGCGCTTTGGCAACGATTTTCGTATTTTGAGGGGAAAGTGGGACTTCATTTCTTCACATTGCAATTTTCTTGATTACCCGTGGCCTGGAGGAAGAAGCTGAAGGTAGAGAGACCGTGCAGGGCACGCTGACTTCAGACTAGAGAGCAGCACCCTCTAAAGCAGCTGAATTTGCTGTAATTATTCTTGTTTTTAACACAGCATTGCACCCCAAATAACAGCAATGCAGCAAAATAGATTCTCACAGTCAACACGCGAAGTGGCTCTGAGCCCCTCCTCCATCTGACGCCGCTCGTTCAGACAGCCAGGTGCACGCTGTGCTGCCCCTCGGCGTCTCCTTCAGGTCCTCAGTGCCTGCACCTGCGCGGCCCCGGGTGCTGAGGGTCTGGGCAGGCGCCGCAGGGGAGGCCAGCAGCACACAGCAGTGGGTGGCTGGTCCTGAGTGCCTGCCCTGGGGGTTCTCCAGGCACCGTGAACTTACGCTCTGTCTCCTTCCCTGGAGGTTTTGGTGGGAGAACAGCCACGTCTTCACGGACACGCAGAGGCATGAGCTGGAGAAGCACTCCCTGTCTCGGGTCATCTGTGACAACACCGGCCTCACCAGGGTGCCCGTGGACGCCTTCCGAGTCGGAAAATTCCCCGAAGACTTTGAGTCTTGTGACAGCATCCCTGGCATGAACCTGGAGGCCTGGAGGGAGACCTTTCCTCAAGGTGACGTTTGGTCTCTTCTCACACCACCTTACAGCACGTGCATCTCATCAAACAAACCTTGTCTTCCCAAGGAGCTGAGTTTAACTTTTCCCTGTTTAGAAAACAGTCGACGCCCTGCCTTACACCCTCAGGGCAGCTCCCGGGGCGGGCGGGACCCTTCTCTAGTGAGACAGGAACTGGGGGCCTAGAAAATGGGAGCCAGCGGGGCCCGACCTGGGAAGTGACAGTGTGTGCTGCGTGGGTGCTGAGTGAGTGACCACAGCAGGGCTCCCCAACCTCGGCACCAGCCCCTCCAGGGCACAAGTGTGCCCGTGACAGGGACGTTGGTATGTGGTTTTCTTTTCTCGCAGTTTGACTACATGTCAACCTGTCCACATTTCACAGACGACAAGTGTGGCTTCCCAGAGAGCGTGGAGAATGGGGACTTTGTGCACTGTGAGGAGTCTGGGAGGCGCGTGCTGGTGTATTCCTGCCGGCACGGGTATGAGCTCCAAGGCCACGAGCAACTCACTTGCACCCAGGAAGGATGGGATTTCCAGCCTCCGCTCTGCAAAGGTCAGTTCTTTCTTCAATAACAATTACAAAACATCTGCATGTTTCCGATATAAATGAACAACGCAACGTCATTGAAAATTTATTCGCCAAAAGATGCTTCTGAAACTGTTATCTTCCCAGCAGCAATTTGGGGATAGGAAGCAAGGGCTCTCCCTTTGGCCGTGTTCCCAGCTGGCCTCTTTCTAGGTAGTGAGGCCTCAGAATAGGCACGTGGAATCGTGACCAATGGGGTCACCTGTGAGGGAAGAGAGAGGGGAGTTCATGAGTTCCAGGCAAAGTTGTGGTGAACTCACAGGGCCACTTTCTCAAAGGAAACACGGCAGCAAACGTCTCCACTCCAGGAACCCATAGAGTTAGTCCCGCCTCCGCCTCCCACAGGTGGCTGATTCCGAAGCCCATGCCTGGTTCTTCTCCAGTCGCTGGGTTTCACTCCCAGCTTCCTGCATGTTTAGGTGTAGACAGGTGTGGGCTCCTAGCGGTGACTTGAGAGCAGGTTGGGAAGGCAAAGGCAAAACAGCTGTGGGCCTCCTCCACCTGCTCCTCCCATGCGCCTGGCTTGAGTGGGTGTCAGCCCAGGGCACCTGGGAGCAGGTTTGCTGGACAACAGAGCCTCCCAGGGGAAGAGCCACGTACTGGGGTCCCTCTGCGGGGAGCAGCAGAATGAGAGTCCCCCACTGACTGTTCTGAGACAGAAAGAGCCCTCTGGGTGCAACTCCTGAGGCTGGGGCGTCCTGTCGGAGCGGCGTGTGTCCCCCAGCTACTTCAGAAACGCCCTGCAACAAAACCCGGACCGCTGGCTCTGGTCTCATGGGCCAGGGGGTCAGGGCAGGCAGGAGCAGGAATGGCTGCTGTTCTCGGAGGAAGGTTGCTCAGACGACACTCACCAGCAATGTTTAGAAGGCCAGGCTGCCTTCAGGGACTGCGTTTTAGGGGAGGAAAACTGGCATCAGACACAGAGCCTCCTGTGAGCTGCTGCTATGAGCTGCACTAACCTAGACCACAGAAGAAAGAGAGGGTCTCGTGCCAGAATCTGGCTGGTTTGCAAGTAGAAATAAAAGCAAAATCCATAGTTTTCAGTTTTCTCAGAGTTTTCAGAAGACGAAAGGGTCCTGGAGCCAGTGCTTTGGGAGACCCAGGTGAAAGAATCTTTTGAGGCCAGGAGTTCAAGACCAGCCTGAGAAACGTAGTGAAACCCCATCTCTACAAAAAAAAAAAGGCCTGGACGGGGATGGTGGGATAAGTTGCACAAGGTCAATACCATTGAACTGTACATTTAAAAATGGCTGAGGTGGTAAATTTCACATTATGTATAATTTAGCATAGTAACAAAATTTCCATTTCAATTTTGAAAGTCCAAAATGTTTGTCCTTGAAGGGTTGCAGTGGCCAACTGCTTCCAGACCCTCAGTCGTAAAGGGAGAGGCTGAGACCCCACGTGCACCAGAGACCCACCAGGACTCAGTGCTAGGGCAGGCGTCAGGTAGGGGTGCGGCTCCCTCCAAGTCTGTGGTCTCAGGTGCCCTCCCAGGAGCCATCTTTCTGTTAGGAGAGGAGAGAAGGGATGAGGAAAGGAAGACACAAAGCCAGCTGGGGAACGGTGCCTCGGAAATAACTTTCAGAGTCACTGAGGACACAGGGAGCTGTCTGGGCATAGATAGGGCAGAGGCCTGCTACATAGATGAGGGAGGGTGTCATCGCTGGAAACCAGCAGCCTGGGCTGGAAACCCTTGTTTAAACTGTTAATTGCACGATGCTAGATTTGTAGACGTGCTCCCCTGCCGCGTTTTGGGATTGGTCACAAATGATGATGTACAAGGAAACCACCCAGAGGTTAGACAATGCCCCAGAGAACAGCAGACCAGGATGTTTCTCCCAGGGAACTTTCCGGAAGCCTCGGTGATAGAAACACAGCTACTCTGTCGGGCGATGACATCTGTGTAAACTCGTGGTTGCTGTTAACACCACTGCATGACTCCTGGCCGTAGGCTCTGTCACTGACCCTTCGGTGACAAAGGGATCACGAATCGTGCTTCTCCTGTTCCCTTGGCTTAGAGACTGTGCAAGCTTGAAGTGCCCACTTCACCCCCGTTCCTGGTTTTCCATGTTGGCATCACCGTTAAGGAATTGATGGCAAGTGCTTCAGGGCGCAGCACATTGCGTGTTCTGTATAAACAAGCCTTCCTGTGGTGCTTTTCACTGTACACCTACATCCTTCCTTGCCCAAATACCCAGATGTTTCACGTGTCCATTTTAGCTTATTTTAAGTATGAATGACCCCAAAGTGCTATCACAGGGATCTGCAAGGTGCAAATAAAAATGGGCGAGACCTTAGAGTGGATCGGGAAGGGAGACTGCTGGTGTCCTGCAACCTGCCCTGTGCACGTGCCCTCTGACCTTCTGGCCTGTGACTTTCTCATCTGTCTCCTAAACGAGGAATGCTCCTCCAGCCTCCTCTAGACCATCCTATGCCATCAAAATCACTCTTCTGTTACTGAAATCTTTTCATTTATCTTCCTTGATTTTTAGTCCAACAGTTAACAGCTGTCTAAGGTTAAGATCCGTAGTTAGAAGGACTATTTCTGAACCGTCTGGGTACTCCCCAGGGTGTAGGACTGTTTCTCAGTGTGGTCCGTGCACAGGAGCCGGTGCTCCTGGCGGATTCCCTGGCTGCAGCAGCAACGTCACCAGGGAGCTTGTTAGACCTGCGGCGTCTGGGGCCCCGCCACAATCCCTGAGTCAGAATCCACACACTTCACAAGACCCCGTTAGACTGTGTATGTGAAGGTCCAAGACGCCCATCAGCCAACCCTAACTCATTCTCTCTTCTCTCTGTAGTTCACTGACTCGGGCCCAACTTCATGTTCTCCCGCCACGGCCATTTCAGTAGCCATTTAATCTGTCTCCCAAAATTGCTGAGTCTCTGCACCTCCAGGTTTTCAAACGTTAAATGAGGACAGGAATAAGGCCTCAATTTAAATTAGTTAGAAATGCACAGTACAAAGAGTGGGGCGCAGGCCTGTTGTTGACACCGTGCGTGCCCAGGCGCCGTGCTCCGAATGCTGGGACAGCTGCACCCAGAACAGTTACGCTGCACAGTTAGCAGGGCGTCCGCTGACTTGGAGGAGTGTTGGTGACACTTAGTGACACGTCACTCAATGAACATGCAGGCTGCACAGCAGTGTGTGCACTGGGAATCCGTTCAGGTGTTTTTAAAGCAGTGGGCCACGGGCACACACATCACTTTGATGAGTGTCCTCCCGAATGCGAGGGGAGCGCTAGGCTGTGCTCCAGAGCCTGTTCATACTGGAGACCTTGGCAGCCTGCCATGGGAACAGGGAGGAGGGATTGCCGACCTGCAGCGATATGACTCTTTTTCTTGTTTGTTTTATCACATCTATAATTAAAATATGTCTTAGAAATAAATGACAAAACTCAAAAATCTGGTACAAGTGCATGTGCACAAATATTTTTACCACAGCTATTCCCTGCACTAGAAGTTTCAAAATCAAGAATCACAAGGGAAAAAAATCAAATATAAGAGAGAGGAAACTTTACGTTTATGGTAAATTGACAAGAATGTAAGTACTCAAGCAGGTCCTCAGTGAAATCTCCTCATCAACATGTCTGCGGCTCCAGAAAGGAAGGCTGTGGACTTAACTGAATAATATAGAAAAACAAATAGTATTTGCTGCTCTCTTCTCTATTCAAATTCTACTTATTTACTCAAACTCATCCACACAAAACCTTGATATTAAGGCTGGGCGTGATGGCTCACGCCTGTAATCCTAGCACTTTGGGGATCATGAAGTCAGGAGTTCAACACCAGCCTAGCCGAGATGGTGAAGCCACACCTCTACTAAAAATACAAAAAAGAAAAATTAGCCAGTCATGGTGGTGGGTGTCTGTAATCCCAGCTACCCAGGAGGCTGGGCAAGAGAACTGCTTGAACCCAGGAGGTGGAGGTTTCAGTGAGCCGAGATTGCAACACTGCACTCTAGCCTGGGCAACAGAGTGAGACTCCGTCTGAAAAAAAAAAAACAAAAACTGGCGAATGCATTGCAGTGAGTCTCCTCTGAGTGCCTTGATGCTGCAGATTTCAAATAGATAAAAAGCTATGAATCAGTGGCTTTTTACATCAGTTATTGTCAGGAGGTTATGCAGTAAATGAATATACATAAATGCTTTGTGCATATTATGGAAAATATGGTTCACAACCAATACTAATTTGCTTAGAGAAATGGAAACATCCGTGCACATCTGTGCACTCACTGTGCATGGAGACTGTGGACGCCACGGCCACTCTTCTTGAAACTCAAGGTGAAGCAGCCAGAGAGCACAGTCTCGGCCTCTGTGCAGGTTGCCCTGGTATCTGGGGACACTGCGGCTGAGGCTGGTTTCCTCCTCTGCTGGGGAGAGTGCTGCTCTTCAGACAGGGCCGATTTGTCCCCCTCCTTCCTGTCCATCCTCGGGAAGGACACCTGCATGGCCCTGGCCCCTGACTCAGGCTTCTGCTTAGAATAAACTGACCCTGGGTGGAGCGTTGTGGGCCAAACTGTGCCCCCCAAAAGCTATGCTCAAGTTCTAGCCCCGTGTACCTCTGCATGTGGCCTGAAGAAGAGGCAAGGCCTTTGCAGGTGCCATCAAGTTAAAATGAGGCTGTCGGATACGTCCCGATCCAATGTGCAGTGTCCTCGTAGGAAGAGGAGAAAAGACACAGAGAGATGGGAACGTGTGAAGACCCAGGATGGAAACAAAGCATCTGCCAGGCATGGGCCCCCCAGGACCCACCAGGAGCCAGAGCATGCAGGAAGGACCCCCTCCCCCGAGAGCCTTCTGAAGGAGCACCGCCCAGCCGACACCCTGATTTCAGACCTGTGACCTCCAGAACTATTGGAGGATGCATTTCTATTGCTTGGAGCCGTCCAGTTTGTGATGATTTTTCCCAGCAGCCGCAGGGAACTCATACCTAGGATGAGTCTGAGCTGCAGGGAGCGGGTGAGGAGAGGGGGCGGAAGCTGCTCCGAGGGAACTCCCCGAGAGGGAGGTAGGGATGTGTTGGCAGCTGCTGTTCCCACTCTGAGGGCCCCATGGCACACCCTGGGGGTGAAGAAGAGAAAACGGGCTTGCAGCATCCATGGGTGAGGACCTCGATTTCTCACGCGATCATGATAGAAACACTCCCCTACCCCAGGGCGGCTGCAGATGCCTTCGCACAGCTCCAGCGCTTCACAGCTCTGCATAGCGGGATGCAGGAGGGGCTGGTTCCAGCGGCAGATGCCTTCGCACAGCTCTGCATAGCGGGATGCAGGAGGGGCTGGTTCCAGGGGCAGATGCCTTCGTGCAGCTCCGGCGCTTCACAGCTCTACATAGGGGGATGCAGGAGGGGCTGGTTCCAGGGGCAGATGCCTTTGCACAGCTCCGGTGCTTCACAGCTCTGCATAGCGGGATGCAGGAGGGGCTGGTTCCAGGGGCAGCTTTAGCCAAGAAAGACCTTCTATGTTTAACAGCCTTGACATGGTTACCTATACATAAAACTTTAATAGCTGCTGCAAGATACAGACAATTAACAGTGGCCGATAGTCAATAGCTCCAATCCCTTGAAATTTCTTTACCCTTGTCTTATACTTTTTATTTTTTTGAGACGGAGTCTCACTCTGTCGCCCAGGCGGGAGTGCAGTGGTGCAATCTCTGCTCACTGCAACCTCTGCTTCCTGGGCTCAAGTGATTCTCCTGCCTCAGCCTCCTGAGTAGCTGGGATTACAGGTACCCACCACCGTACCTGGCTAATTTTTGTATTTTTAGTAGAGACGGGATTTCACCATGTTGGCCAGGCTAGTCTCAAACTCCTGACCTCAGGTGATCCACCCACCTCAGCCTCCCAAAGTGTTGGGATTAGAGGCGTGAGCCACCGCACCCGGCTTCTTATACTCTTATAGAGTGGTTGTCATTATCAATAATGTCATTATTAAAGACTGTCCTCTTTAGAAAGCCTGAGATAGCCCCAACACCCTGCTAGTTGTCATAAGCACCATCTTTGATTCCAGGCCCGTTTTTCACCACAGACATAATGATACCCATTCTGTAACTGAGAAAACCAGCTGGCACCAAGGCTCCCCCGACCCCAGAGCCCTGAGTTAGGAATGGGCAGTCCCACCCAGTACAGCCCCTCATCCTGGGGAGCAGGAGGGCAGCAGGCCACCCCAGCTGACCTTCAAGGCCTTGCAGGTCTCCGGCACTGGGTCGCCTGAGCGCTGCCCAGGTTCGCACATTCTCCTCATCCTGGGGTGGCCGAGTCGGGGGCCAAGTCCCTGTGGCCTATGTGGACCCCGGCTCTTCCACTCAGCGGTGAGATTGGGGAGAGCCCCTCCACCCCTCCCAGTACCTTCGCTCTGTCTGGGGGTGTCGTCAGCACCAGGGCCCCAGGAGCGCAGGCAGGTTGCTGCCCCCAGCCTGGCCCTCGGCAGAGACTGCACCCAGGCCAGCTCTGTTCCCTCCAGACAGAGCAGCTCCTGGAAGAGCACGTGTCCCAGCACTGACAGCACCTGTGCCATTCAGAGAACATACACTGGGCATGTGGAGCAGACCTGTGACACGCTCCTGCTTGTTTTCTAAAATTGGCCAGAAAAGGAACATTATTTGAACAAAATGTACAGCAGGTTATCTGGAAATAGAAGCCTAGGGGATGAGGTACTAGATGTAGGATTCGCGTGCAGGGAGAGCAGGAGGGGACGCACCATCCTCACTGGTGGTGGCAGGTGGCCCCAGTCCTTGCTCTCAGAGGACCTGGAGCATCTGGGCCAGCTGGGAGTCTCTGCTTGGGCGAAGCGGACCCTGCCCTACCCTCCCCCTGGCCCCTTCCTGCCCCTGTGTCCTGCACTTGGCCAAATTCCACATTCTCCTATCCCAGGCAGACCCTAATTTCCTCCAGGAAGGCTCCTGTGACTTGGGCCTGAGTGAACCCCAGTGTGTGGACTCCCTGCAGGCTCAGAGCCCACGGCCAGCGTGCGTCTGTCTTCTCCTCATCACCTTTTCAGATGTGCAGGGAGCAGGGGGCGGCCACACAACAGCAGAGGTGGTGCCTGGTTCCCCCTAGACCGGGTGGGGTGTCAGGCAAAGGGCTGACCTCCCCAGACAGAAGCATCTCCCAGAACGGGGGTCACACAGGAGAGAAGGGGGTGCGGCTGCTTCCTCTCACGTGCGTGGCCTTGTGTGTCTGGCAGATGTGAACGAGTGTGCAGACGGTGCCCACCCACCCTGCCACGCCTCTGCGAGGTGCAGAAACACCAAGGGCGGCTTCCAGTGCCTCTGCGCGGACCCCTACGAGTTAGGAGACGATGGGAGAACCTGCGTAGGTGAGTCTGCTCCCCTCCCTCTCTGTCCATCTATTTGCGAGTTTTTGTAAAATGAAGAAAAGTGTGTTCAAGTTAGGCAACTGTCAATCACCATCTTGATTGGGAAGGGCAGAGATGAATAAGACACCAAGCCCAGGTGCCCGAGGGGCGTCCGCGCTGTGCTGGGGGCAGAGGATGCATTTCATATCTGCTGTCTGTGCGGAGACCCTCGGTGCATGCTGAGGCTGGGGGCGGCAGTCAGAACGCATTTCCAGACAAGGTCCACAGGTGCATACCCAACCTAGATCACCCCAAGACACAAAACTTATGAAACAGGCAGCGTTCAATACAGACCCATCCATCACCTCTCCTCCTCCTGGGCCCCCTCCAAACGCACCCGACTGCACCCTGACCAGGGCCAGCAGCACAGCTGCCTGCCTGTCGCCCACCCCCACCTCTGGATGTCCCCGCCCTGCATGGGGCCTGGGTGCTCAACATCCACCTCGGATGGCCTTGCCCAGTGCCCCAGCTCTGCCCTCAGATCAGGGACAGCGTCTTCCTCACCGCTGCCTCCAAGTCAGGCGCCAGATACGCCCAAACTTTTGACGAATTTACTCCCCTGAAAATTGTGGCTCTTAAGTAAGCATTATCTTTAATCTTCATTTTATACAAAAGGACACTAGTGATAAGAGGGCGAGATGCTGCCACTCACACAGCCACTCCGTAGCTGGCCGGGAATCTGTGTTAATAGTTGACTTCCAACTCTTATAGAAAAATAATTATTCGCCAGACTCGAGTTACAGACAGAATTCCTTTGAGCTACTGTCATAGGGGAGTGAGGTCTCCAGAAAGAACCAAGTGCAAGGCCCAAATGCAGCAAAGGCAGCTGGGACGTCCAGCCAGGAGAGAGAGGCGTCAGTGCAAAACGCTTCATGACTCAACTTCATTAAGGGGATTCTGATAAGCTGGAATAATAGGATTCTTGCTGAAACTCAGCTCCTCAGGTGAAGGACACAAGGGCCAAGGTTAAGGCCAGTCAAGAAGCGAGTGAGTCTGAAAAAAGATGGCCAGAACGCAGCTGCGTGGGGCCTTCAGAGGCCGAGGATGCTCCTTCTGGTGCTCTGAAGCTACGTCCGCCTGACAGGCGTGTCCTCCCT